CTTTTTCCTTCCTGATCCTGAACCCTGTTTTTGTAAAAATTTAAATGGAGTTTATCCTTTTTTATTTTTGCTTTCAAGCCTCTTGTTATTACCAGGTGACTTTGAATTACAACTCCAGTCAAACGTTCTCGAGAGAACCAGGAACAGGGGGCACGTGCCGCTCATCCATCACTCCTCACCCCACCACTGCTGCGTCATTCATGAACGCTACGCTTTCTCTTCATTCATGCTTTTACTCTCCTCCCGCCTACGTTTCTTCTTTTCGCCACCGTCATTTGTCTCAGTGCACCTGCAGATATGGCAAGCCCTTTTAACATAAAATCGGATTCACCACGCTTACATTCCAGATATCTGAAACTGATTTATGACTAGACATATTAGTTATTTAAGATATCTTTAATTACATTCTGACCAGTATAAATGACGTCAGATTTACCTTTGAGTTGTTTGGAGGCTTCAATTCAAGATATCTTAAAATGAATTTTGACTAGTCAAAAATGCAGTTCTAGATATCTCTAAGTTAATTTTGAATAGTCATTATTTGCTTTCAAGATATCTTGCTTTTAGCTAGTCATAATTACAATTAAAGATATCTTAAATTATGTCATTATTCAAGATATCTTAAATGTATTTTTAGATATCATAAATAAAGATTTGACTAGTGCAAATTACATTGCAGATATCTTGATAGCAAATAACGACTAGGCAAAACTAACTTAAAGATATCTAGAACTGTACTTATGACTAGTCAAAATTCCTTTTAAGATATCTCAAAATGAATTCAAGATATCTTGAATATTTTTTCTTGTAGACGGCTTTTCTATTTAAGATATCTTGAATTAACATTTTGACTAGTCATAATAACAATTCAAGATATCGTAAATTAGCATTCTGACTAGTCAGAATGTAATTGTGCCTAGTCAAAATTAATTTTTAGATATCTAGAATGTAACTACAGATACAGACTACTCAATTTTATGTTAAAAGGGCTTGCCATACTGCCACGATGACCACATGCTGTTACCTGGCTGCTATCCTCCACCCTTTATTCCTATTTAGTGAATGTTTTAGGCTTTTCTTGCTTGTTTTATGTGTTAAATCATTATCAAGAGACTTTGACGGCTGTGGGGGATCAAGCATTTACAAAAACCACTACGCATGTGTTCAATTTGTCTGCCTGCTGTTAGCAAAATATCTCATGAACAGCTGAATGGCTATTAAAGAAATTCCCAGGACATTGTCGAAACTATCTTAAATTAACTTTTGGAGTCAACTTGATTCAAGATGGCTGATAGGTTGATCAACCTTTGCACACCAAAATTGACTGTAGCTCAAAATTATTTTCAGATATTGAGCTTAAACTGGTTGTGGCCTTAGCTGAAGTCATCCTCAATATTCAGTTGAATTCAGTTTATTTATTTAGCACCAAGTCACAACAGAAGTCATCTCAGGGAACTGCACAGAAATATTCAAGTGCTTCTATGTAAGTTAATAACATTATTTATCTGAGTCCAACACAGACCCTGAGCTCTAACGGATCTCGGGAGACCTTTAAAACTTGGCAAGCGCTGCAGCAGGCAAAATGCTTTCCTTCAAGAAATGCTATTATTTAACAAGAAGTATAAGGGGATCGCAGTTTATGATACCTAAACACAAAAAAGCATCAACAACAGCTTCCATGTAAAGAAAGCAGAACAACTGAAATAAGAAGGTGAAAATATGAGCGGAGCCAAACGTGCTCGTTCAGTTATAAATGTTTGTTTCATCATCTCGAACCCTGTTTGGAACAATTTTAAACACATTTAATATCATTTTTGTTAGCACAATTTAAGGACGTTTAAAGAATACACACATTTCTTAACAAATATCGACAATAAAAAAAGACTAATCAAATATAAGTAAGCTGAAAATGTACTTTTTGCATGTTTGTTTGCCTTTAACACGTCAGACTTCTGTATTATTTTTAACATACAAGCTGAATGAGTGTATTTAGAGGATCATTGGACATTTTTCTTCATGCAGATACGATCTTAAGCAATAAAGCTGTGTGCGCAGGTGTTTATCAAATATTCAAATATTTAGAAAATAATTCTCCTTGACAAATTAACATAAATGACGATGCATTTTTCTTTCTCCTCATGCTGACTTTTTAACTCATCCTTTCACTATGAAGCGTGTCATTTGCTGCACAGACTGCAGGCATGACCTCTCCATGTGCTTGTTTTACGACCACATATGAACATACATGACGCCTTACAGTCACTCTCCAACGATGAGCCGAGCACAAAGTCACATGACGTCCGGTTCGTCTCAGTTTTTGAGGCGTTCATGGACAACAGGATAACAGGATGAACTTTGAAAGAGAAGAACTGCAACAGAACTCACTGTAGTTCTAAATGTGCACGAGTGTGCGCACATTTCTGTTTGCCACCCGTGAGCTTGTGTGTGTGAGTGTGTGTGTGTGTGTGTGACATTGTGCTGACATTGTGTTAACTTTCCGCTCTGCTCCCTCAGCTGTGCTTATTTAGTGGCTCGGGGATATCCCAGAATTTGTCTATTTATTCGTTCAATTACAAGCGTGTCTACATGGATGTGCATGTGCATGCGTGTGCATGTGTGTGTGTGGTTGTGCGGGTGAGAGCATGAATGTAAATGAGTGTGTTTTCAGAAAGCCTTGTACCTGCACCATCTGGCCCTGTAATAATAGCCTTCTATGCCCCCTAGAATGAGATGGTTCTGGACACACACACACACACACACACACACACACACACACACACACACACACTGCAATATATTTTTGCCTTAAAGGACAACAGATAAGAAGATTAACCATTTAATCTCAGTGTTCTGTTATCGCCATTATCCAAAAAGGAAAAATAAACAAATAAATAAAAACATGTAAATGTAAACGGAGCCTTCTAAAACCCTGAGAACCACCTTCAAAAGTCCATTTTCAAATCTCCCTGACAACCAGGACTGGGGAGCATGAACGCAGACTTGTAGGCGAGGCTCCACAGCGACGCTGAACACGGTTGTTTCTTCCTCGTAACTGGACTACAGTAAAACGGTGGAGAAAAAAGAACCGAGGCCTGAGACGCAAACCAAACTCTTCATCCAAATATTAAAAACGTTCTGCAGCCGTGTGACGTCCATACGTGTAACTAACGGCAGATCCCCAAAACATTTCATGCACGCAACATCAGGAGCAGCCAGCACGTTTGAAGAACTTCACCAAAACCTTCAGCACTGCCCTCTTGGTTATTCCTGTCTGATAATAGGTGGAGCCATTAATGAAAAACATGTGGGTGATGCAGTTCATGTCACAAACTCACGACTATAACAAATGTTAAGCTTTAATGGACGAACCCAAACATCTCTCCTACAATACAAATACTTTGGCTACAACTAGTGCAGCATCGTGACCACGGGGTCAAGCTTGACAAAGTCATTCCTTGCAATCAGTGAATGCACCAAAGCTGCAATCGCATTTTTCTGCTCCATGAACGCAACACATATGTGCTGGCAAAAGCAGGTCGTTGATGTGCAACACTTTGAGGACTCCGCTCTTCTTTGGCAAGTGCCATCAGGACCACAGTGGACTCCAGATACCGTCTGATCGAGCTTCATGGACACAACGGTTTTGAGCGTGCGCAGAACTTCCAGAGCAAGGTTGCAGTGTGGTCTACGTTTTTGTAGAGGGTATACTGTGCTTAGAAACCGAAGTACACCAGTTAGTACAATGTAATCGTTAATTTAGTTGGATTTTTAAGCATATTGAACATTTCCAAATGTCTCTGATGCTTATAGTGCAACAAACTTTGTACAACCGTTGGCGCTGCATTAAAAACACGTTACAGAATTTATAAAACCGTATCAAAGCAAAACATGTTCACGTATCAAGTAGTACGTACAGAAGTGTTAATTATACAAAAAACAGGTTGAACCAACTCAATGTCTAAAATGTTCCAGATGTGTTGACGATGACGCAAACCCATGTCACGTATCTTTGCAATGATACGTGACATGGGTTTGCGTCATTGGGCACTTTTAAGTGGGTATGCTGAAATTCCCAATCTTTTCTAATGGGTATACTGTGTACCCGTATATCACATGGACTACACCGCTGGTTGCAGCATATCAGGGTCCTGGGACCGTCCAGTTGAAGTGGGCCTACCAGGCTGAAGTTTCTCTTTATCGTGTGTTATCTACCGACGACATTAAACTGGAGTATTTTTATGTTTTGGGCTGTGCACGACAGATATGACTTATTGTTTCTCTCTGAGGAAGTTGAACGTCCTGGACCATTTGCAGGCGTCTCAGTGTCTCTTCACTTGTGTTGTGGGAATTTTCAACATTTGCACAAACTGTCTTCTTTGGAGGCAGTCTTTGAAACTCACAGCTCATTTTCAGTGCATGGCTTACAAAACTGTGGTTTTGACAGTGCACATTGTTTTGCTGTCCACTTACTTCCACCTTTATGAGCCCACATTTACCATTTGTCTTTTGTTTTTTCAGCTGAAGACAAACACATCTGGACTAGTTTTCCAATCATTTGTCATCAGTGTGGGTTTTTAGACCCGGACATTAGTCTTGGATGCTTCCCGTTGGAGGAGAGCTCTCCTGCATGTGTCAAAACGAAGCTCTGGTGCTCCTCAGACTGGTTGGACTGGTCTAAATGAGAAGGCAACTGGTCACAGCTCAGTTTTGGATTACAGCTCTGTAACTAGATGAAATCAGATCTGCAGCTTTGAGCTTTACAGAAATCTGAAAGTGGACGAGCATCTCTCAACAGCTGGTACACCCACACCTGAGCTGGGAGTCACGTGAGTTTAAGAACTTGACTAACAACAGATCAGGGTACGAGATAGTTGCTGGTTGACTATAAACCCTGTTTGACGTCAATCATCGCTGAAGGAGCACTGATCGGAGCTGTGCGCGCGCGCGTTGTTAAGCAGAGAAAGACATGTCCCTCACACAGACTGAGACTGAACACGTACCTTCCAGACAGCAGGTCCGCCAGAGGCCGGAGTGCGTCATCACCTCCTCGTTCTTGCGGCTCGTGTCGTTGTCGCCGCTGCTCTTCACGCGACAGACCCCGCGCGAGTACAGCCAGTAGTCGGTGCCCACGGCGATGGTCATGAGGCTGAAGGCGGCGAACGCGCCCACCGTCGTCACGAGCATCTGGACGCCGCGGTCACACATTAGCATCTTCATAAAGGCGGCTGCTCCTGGGTGCCTTTTTTATCTCCCCCCTACCCACCCACCCCCAAACCCCCCCTCAGTCACACTTTCCTTTTTTTTCCTTTTAATATAATATCCCGCGAGACTTGGCGAAGGAGGGGGAGCTGGGAAATATTAATATTGGAGTTGTAGGTTGTTTTGTGAGCATGGGGGGGTGGGTGGGGGGGTGACAGGAGGCTCGCGGCTGCAGCAGCGGAGGGAGGGAAGATGGGAGGATGGCACGTCACTTTCTCTCGCATCAAACGCTGCTTTCCGCCACCGTCCTCCAAAGGATTAGACCACCGGTTGCCCCCCCACCTTCCCACCCTCCAATAAAGCGCTGGACCCTACCCTCAGTCAGAGCCACGTTTCTCCCCCCCTCTTCATGCGTCCCCCGCTGGATCTGTACGTCCTCGTGTTAATGTCAGCCTCTCTGGATGAGCTCCTGTCAATCACTTGCGGGTTCCTTCTTGTTTCCCGTCGAATAATCGAACAAACGAACGATGGGTCCCTACGAGAGGAGGAGGAGGAGGAGGCGGAGGCGGAGGAGGTGGAGGAGGAGGCGCGCTGGTGCTTGTTCCCATTCCAGCTGTTGACTCACCGACATGTTTCCTCTCCCTGGTCCAAACCGATCACACAGGTCGGCTCCTCGGGTTTAACTGGCCGTAAAATGGCTACAGAGCAGATCGTTGAAAGTCGGTGTCGTTTCTGATCAAGTGGCTCTTCCTTTTTTTTTTGGGGGGGGGGGGGGGGGGGTGTCACGTTGAACGCGTCCGATAATGGAGTCAGTTACACCCGCCTGGGTCGGCGCTCGCCAAAGCGTGCCCGCTGGTACAAATAAAAAAATGACAGCAGTTGCCTACCCCTGGTCCTCCTCCTCTTCATCATCTCCCTCCTCCACCTCCTCCTGCTGCTTTCCATCCAACCAACACAAACTAAAACTAAACGCCGGTCTCCAAACTCCGCCCGCAGCCGCTCGGATTGGACGTCCTTCACATGCACATCCTTTATATATATATA